AGTGAAACGAGCAGCCACCCTGGCAGGACACAAACCCAGCCCCTCTTTTCCACCGTTTCCCCACCAAGGTGAAAGTGGTGACTCTATGGCAATTGTAAGCAACTTACAGTCAGTCACTTGAAGGCAAAGAAGCAGGACTAGATGTCTCTGGGTGTTTTCCGGCTCTGGGTGACTCCCATGAGCTAGAAAGTCCAGGACTATGACCGGTGGCCAGCTGGGGCCTCACTTAGAGCAAGGTCAGGTGAGGGGCCAGGTGTTGCCCACTGGGAGGAGGAGGTTGAAAAGCCAGTCCACAAGCACTGTATTGCAAGTCACCTCTTCAGCTCCTTTCTGTACTCCAGGGACCTCCTCTTCTAGAAAACTGGCAAGTTTTGGACATGGCAAGCCGGATTTGGGACCACTGTCTGCCCAACTATCAGGAAAGCTGAGGAACAAAAATCCCTCACCACATTCCTTCTATCTGGACTCCACTATCGGAGAAGTTGGCTGGCCTGAGAGAACCCCTCAGGCTGCAAGCCTGATATGCTGCCCTCTCACCAAGCTTTGGCCTGGATAAACCTCACACTGGCTGCTCCCCTCTCCCTTCAGAGACTCCCTGAGAAAGAAGCAGTGCTTGGAAAAAACACTCTCACCCCAAGGCTGGAGAGAAAGGCAGAGGGAACAGGGAACACCTTCCCTGGCTGCCACAACATGAGGCTGCATTCCAGGAAGAGCACGCACAACAACGCAAGTCACAGGCCTCCCAGCCCACTGCTCCCTCCCAGGCCCCCACAAATCATAGCCAGCAGTTCTCTCTCACAGGGAGACCCCCACCCCATCCCCACCCTGCAAAACCTCAGCCCTTTTCTGACATGTGGCAATTTCCTTCTATCCTGGTTTCCCTGTCTACCCTCATTCCCTCCCTTTCAACCTCCACTGAGCTCACCCTGGGAGCTTCAGGTGACCCAGAGACCTAGGGATTTCTTAGCGACAAAGCTGCCTTCATCAAGCCCACCCACGTGAGCAATTTAGCCTGGGGCCTAGGCGGGTAGGATCCCCAGAGCACAATCTGATTTCTGGGAAGCTGCGCTTTGAACCCTCCTCGAAGCTACAGAGTACCTTACAAAGGCATGCAGATACTAGGAGCTGGGACCTTTGAGAGGGTAGTCCAACACAGTTTTGCACAGAGCCTAGGAAATTAGAAACAAGGGTTCACAAGTTTTATGCGTGGAAGCCCCAATGTCCTGTGACACTGTCTTCCTACCATAAGCAGCATACTCTTCATTTTCTCTTCCCTGGCAGGAGTAAAAGGCAACAGGAACTGCACCTGAACTAGTGAAATTATAGCAGCCATCGGGCCTGCGTAACCTTCTTCAACCTTCCCTGCTATCTTACGAAGCATTATCATCATCCTCACTTTACAAGGGAGGAAACTGAGCCACAGGAAGTTAAGCAATGCCCCCAAACACCCTGCAAAGGAGAAGATGGAGTATGGCCCTAAGTTTGTCCAGGCCTCACTCCCATGCACCCTCCAGACTTCCTTCACCGTCACTGCCAGCGTGACAGTCCACACACCATCCAGGAATGATATTCTCAGTGTGGGTGTGGAAGTGGGTGTGGTTCTGGAATCTGAATCAATCCCCCCACTAACTTAATGCTCCCAACTGTGTGATCTGGGAGAGCCACAGTAAGTGTGCGTGTGAGTCTTAGGGGTGGAGGGACGGTGATCTGGATTCCAAAGAGCAGTTTCCAACACCAAAGTTATGCTGTAATGCTTCTGATTCATAAAATGAGCTCACAGTCTCAGAGTATCCTGAATGTCGTTCTGAATACAAACGCAGATCTCTTAGTAAGAACTGGGGATTTCAGCATACTCCACTTAGCCCCAGCCCAGAGGCCGACTTCCTTCAGCCCCACACAGTCCAGAGTTCTACAGTGCAGAAGCAATTCCCTGAGTGAATGCAAACACTAGCTGCATTTCCTGCGGCCTACAGTGAGTCAGGGAAGAATGGAGTCCCTGAGCTGCTCTTGTACTGGCACATGTGCACGCAAACACACAGGAGAGGTGCCAACATTGACTGGGCAATGGAAATGCCCAGGCTAGCAGATGCCTATGTAGGCATCTGTTCCAAACTCCTTCACTCTGAGGTCTCCTTGGCATTAGAATGACCAAAACACAGACTCTAGAAGACCAGCCCCAGGGTTCAGCAACACCAAAACTCCTGTGGTGGGAACTGACTGATCTTCTGAAGCTAATGGTTCAATGTAAAGAGGGTCCAGCAGCAGGGGCTCACTAGGCCCTCCACAGGCCAAGGCCTCTTCTTCTTTTCTTTTTTCTTAGTGAAAATCTTTCCCTGGTTCGGCTAACATGCACTAAACTCTGAATGCCAGGCACTGTAAGAACAATGCAGAGCTCATACGGAAGTACAGGCTATATTTTGCATATACTGAGTCCTCTGGAAACTTGGTAAGGGAGATATAATATAGACTCGAGCCTGGAGTCTATATTTTTTACCACTATGCAATAGGTATACATACAAATAACTAAAGGACAGTGAACATTCAGAACACTAAGAAATTCAGAATTGGCACTCAAAACAGGACTAGAGATAAGCAGGAGTCTTTCATCTACTTGTGGCCAACCCCACCCCACCAAGAGAAAGATATTCTTTCTCCACTTTTCTCTCTCAAACTGAGGATTGAACTCAGAGGTGCTCTACCACTGAACTATATACCCCCAACTTTATTTTTTATTTTGAGAGTTTCATTAAATTGCTCAGGACAGCTTCTAACTTGAGATCCTCCTTCCTCAGCCTCCCACGTAGCTGGAATTACAGGCATGCACCACCACTCCTGGCAATGAGCATGGTTTTCTTTGGAAAGACCCAACAGACAAATTACCAAGGCCAGAAACTCCTGGAATGGGATTATTCCTTCCAGGAAATAATACCTGGTGAGACTTCCATACTCCTCTCATTCCCCTCCTCTTCCAGAGGTCTTGGCTCCTCTCCGCAGTCTTCCCCTGGATTCTTCAGCCACAAGCTACAGTCATAACTGCATGCTGCTTTGCCCCCCTTCTGTTTATTAAAAGCAGCATCCACAGAGTCAAACACGGGGGCTATTTTTAAGATCTCTGCTTAAAAGTTTAACCCTCATCCTTGGGTACTCCAAGGGTACTCTTTCCTGGAGGGGGTAAAGGGCTGTCAGCCTTGGAAAGAGCTGAGTTCTGCCTAGTGCTTGGAAAGGTCACACTGGAAGAGTGTATTTCCAGCCAAGGTTGTATGATGTGGGGGACATCCTCTAGGCTCCTTACCAGCCTGACCTCTGAAAGCTACACAGACCAGAGAAACCAGCCAGAGGCCAATCCAATTAAAGTGGAGACTGGACCAGCGCCATGCAATGAGATGGTTTATCACCGTAATTGAATGTTTACACCTTTATTATTCCCTGTGCAGCAAGGACCCACAGATTGTTAACCTAGTAAGGTCTGTCCTTTCCCTTAGTTTCTCAAGCCATTTAACACCCGTGGAAAGGACATACTTCTCTGATCCTAGGAGCACATATAACACCTTCCCTGTGAGGCTCTGGGGCAAGTCAGGTAATTCTGCACCCTCAACAGATCTGGTGGAGTGAAAGGAGAGTTGCAATTCCTACTACTGTCATCAGACCTCCTGTCTCTGTCTTGAAGCTCCAGGGACAGGTCAGCCAAAACCTCCATCCAGGCCAGATTCCCCCTGCTGGGGGAAGTCAGACACCCTCTGTCCTCCCCAGCCACAGCTGCCAACAGGCATCCTCTATACACACGAGTGCCACAGGGACCTCCATAGCCAGCCAGTACTTCCCCAGTCCTTCCACAGGCTGGTACACAGGTCCCACCTACGTGGGATGGAGGAAGCAGGAAGTAGTCACCAAAGTTGTAGTCAACTAAGTTTTAAATGAGTCAAATAACTTCTCCTTTCATCTTTCCAGCAGCCTACGGTAGAAAATGGCCTGGGACATTCAGTGGTTGCCCCTTTAGATGGCAGACACCTCCCCCTGGTCTTCCTGGGGACTGAGGCTTGCAGAGCGCACCAGGCTCTTCAGAACACTCATCAGCCTTTCCGTGCAGGCCTGGGTGAAGGTCCCTGGGACACAACCTGATGCATACTGTTTGGGGGAGGTTTGTCCACCGACATCCACCTCCACCTCCACCCCCTGCACGCTCTCAACTGGCACCAAGGGACACAGTACCAGGCCCTGCGCCTGGAGGGCTTGGCTGGCCGCTGCGAGCAGGCGTGTGGGGGTGAAAGACAGGGGATGACAGGTCTGGGGTGCGCCAGCAGCGCTGGGACGCGCGGGGCAAGGCGGCTCTATGCTCACCCACCCGGGCTCGATGCTCCACTCTAGGCCTTGGCTGCACTTGCCTCAGTTCCCAGCCCCCCGAACCTCGGCCGCCCAAAGTCGCAGCGCACAGTGCCCCTGCCCACTTTCCTGAGCAAGCAAGGCAGGAAAAGGGTCTCCTGAGCCAAGTTCCCACAGCTCGCGAGCCCCCCGCAGCACGCCGCGGGCCTGGGCTCCGTCACACCAATCAGTCCCTGCAGACACCACGTTTCACCGGGGCGGAGTGGGAGGAGGAAGCAATGGTGTTCCCAAGACGCGGCCGCTGGCCGACAAGCTAGGACGCTTTTCCTGTGGCGGCCAGGGCCCCGGCTGCACTCGGGTGGGCGGGGGCCGCATGCGAGCTGCGTAGCTGCACAAACACGGCGGGGCTGCGCTGCACACGCAGCTGCTGGCGGAGGTCTGGGGCCGCGCGAAGGCGGGCCACCGACGGCCCACGCACGTCCCCGCGCACCCACTCCACCGCTGCTCAGGCCACAGAAGTTGGCGCGCGGAGGCCCTCGAGGCCCCTCGATCCCGTTCCGGGCCGCGCCTGCAGAGCTGCTGCCCGAGGGGCGGGCGGCCACCGCTTGCGCGCCGCCGAGGTGCCCGCGCTGCCCCTGCCGCGTGCAGGCCTTGGCCACCGACTCGGCGGCCCGACTTACCCCGCTCTGGCAGGAGCTCAAGCCTCTACTGTCCCCCTTCCGCCGCGGGCCGCCGCCTTTGGTCGCCTCCGGGACTCCAGCCGCCTGCACGCACTCCCCGATTTTAAAAACAAACAGCAGCCTTCGCCTCCCCGCGGCGTTCGCTGGGCTTCCGCCGGCCAGCGCCTCCCTAAGCTGGGAAGTTTGCTGCTAGGGCCGAGGCGGGACGCGCGGGCTGTCACCCCAACTCGTTCACGGCGCAGGAACCGTGCGCCCCGCGCCCGTACTGTCTGCCTCGGGAGCGCTCTCCCTCCCTTCGTGTCACCCCAGTCCTGCGATGCAGTGTCAGGATTGCACGGCTCTGACTCATCGGTTGAGCTCACAGCTTGAAAAAAAAAGAGAGGGCGAGAGGCAACAGCAAAGGAGGACTCTCTGGCGTGCTACAAAGGATTGCACAACTCAAAGCTGGGTGCACGGAGTGCCCAGCGGCCGGCTGGCGCGCGCGGCACCGCGAGGAGCAGGAACCAGCTCTACCACTTCATCAGCACAACTGACTCGGGCCGCCTCTCCGCCAGCAGGCCCAGCACCTCCCACTTCCTGCGACCAAATAAGGCAGAGGAAGGCGTCTTTAAACCTCCAGCGGCGGCCGGGGCTGGGGATTTCCAGCAGACCTCACCTCCACTCCGGAGTCGGGCGCCACCCTCCCCCAGCCTAGGCGGGCGCCCCCATGGCTTTGCTGGAACCAACAGGCCACGCGGCTCGTTCCTTGCACACCAAGGTCAGGAGGAGACAGTGACGAAATGTTTGGAAACCCATGGAGCCTGCCAGGAAAGAGAGAGAGAGAGAGAGAAAGAGAGAGAGTGGGGTGTGTGTGTGTGTGTGTGTGTGTGTGTGTGTGTGTGTGATTTGGGGGAGGGCACAAGTTGCTTTCTTCCATAATGAAAACTCTTGTGTTGGATAGATAAATCATGCACAATCTTCTCCAAGGCACTTTATTAACAGTCTCCTTGTTTTCACTTTCTGGTTCACCAGCCTCCCTGTGGTGTAAAAGCAATTGAGAAACCGGCCCCAGGCCCTGTAGAGGGCCCACATGGCCTTCAGAAGTCTAACAACTCAGACTAGAGTTGGGAAGCTGTCATTTCTCCTGCCCTCCTTAAATACCTCCCCTGATCATTTTCTGGTCCAAGCTTTGATCCCTCTTTGCCTGTCTAAAGGATGGGAAACATTTTCTGCAGCTCAGGAGGTCTTGCAGGGCCAGGCAAAAGTCCCCAGGCAACCTGGTAGCCCTGCTCTTCCTTCAAAGTATCTTGGAGTATAATTTTTTTTTTTTAAAGATGAGTCAGAAGGAGACATTCTTCTGAAGCAAAACCCCAAAGAATACACTGTGTCCGGGGAGCCACCTTCCCCTGTGGCCAGTCCTAAGAGTCAGGTGCAATCCGTTGCCTTTCTCAGGAGAAGAGCAAGGTCAGCAGAATGTGGTTCCCACACACCCCCTGAGCCTGCAAGACCTGAGCCTGGTAGGACCATCTGCCTAGAAACCCTACACAATCTACATTTGTTCTATGGGCAGAGCTTTCCAGTCCTCTTCTGGCCCTTGACAGGCGGGCACCGGCATGCACCTGGAAGTCACACTTCTCCCAGGGAGAGGTAAAGGACTCACTTGTCCCATCTTACAACACAAATGTCAAAATAATGACCTCCAAAACAGTCTTATCTCCAAAATATCTACAATTATGCCAAAAGACAAGACCAGGTGATCTCTTAAAGTTCCTTCTAATTTAGGATTCATGATTCTGTGGTTGTAAAAAGTAAATGGAGGAGTCAGAAAACCACTTTCACTGTACAGAAAAGCCCAGGATCCCCAGTTTAGCATCCACTGTGACAGTATTGTTCCCCACAAGTCTCAAAGCACTTTGCCCTACACCCTACCGAGCCACATTGTATGACACAGTTCTATCCCTCTCTGGATAAGAACACAGAGGTTGCAGGCCAATTACTGTCACCTCTGCTTTTCTTCTAATCTCCCACAGAGAAAGGCAGCAAGCAATTGAAGGATTGGGGTGCTCAGGCCCCACGTAGAGGATGGACTTTCAGGATTCCTGGCAGAGCTTTTCCATTTGCTGAGTTTCATCCCTCCCACTGGCAGTTCATCCAAGTAAAGGAAACAAAAGCAAAGTGACTTCATCTCCAGGGCCCCAGCTGCCACATTCTTCTGCAGACCTGCAGCCAACTTGACCTGTCCTAAGGGATCAGCCCCTGCAGCTAGCCTGAGGCCAGCCCAGAGGGAGCCCCTGAGAGCTAGTGCAAACCAGCCCAGGGACATTCCCAACCAACCAGAAAACCGAGCTGGGGAACACATTCCTAGAAGAGCCTTCTACATTACAAGCCAGGGCCCAGCCTCCAGAGATGGGCAAGCAGGAGCCACTCCAAAGGGCATTCCTCAGCTTTGTCCTGTTGGAACTTCCTCCTTGTCCCACACAGGGCTGCCTGGCTGAGAAGCAGCCCAGCGAGTGAAGGCAGGTAGCAGAGTGCACAAGAAACAGGCATCAGTGGCTCTGAAGGAGCCTAACCCTAACCCTTCCCTTCAGTCCTGCTAAACTTCTACATGTGAGCCAGCTCTGAGATGGGAGGAAAGGGTGCAGAGAAGGAGGGCTCATGACAGTTCCCAAAGCCACTATTTGGCAGAGAAGTGTATTGCCAACCACTGGTAGAAGCGGATGTGTAAAGAAAGATTCAGCCTTTCCCGGAAAGCCCTGGAGGTCAGTCCTGCTGTAGATATGACTGCAGAATCACTGACATGTGAAGTGAAAGTTTTGATTTTAGAAGCCTCAGTCCCTCCTTCAACCAAGGTGACCTTGTAGGGCTGTGGTGAGGGGCACTGATCCTGAGACCTTACCCACAAGAGTGACAGATTCTTCACCACCTGCCTTCTTTGCAAACTGCAGGAAAGCCTGGAGTTCAGAGTTCCAGTTCCCAAGGGCTGTCTGCTAAGAAACAAATACTCCAGGAAGAAAAGCACTCTGGCAGGTTCCCCAATGCTGGGTCCCACTGAGGGTGGATTATGGCATTTCAGAGGCTTCCTGACACTGAATCAGCTCTCTGGACTCTGCTGAATGGCCTGGTGCTACCCTGAGTGGCCTTCACCAGTGGTCAAACCATCCAAATCTTCCAAGTATGTGTGAGTTCTATTTCAAAGCTGATATCAAGAAAAAAATAAATAAATAAAAGCATTTAAAGAAGCCAGGGTCTCACTCCCCAGCCTGAGTTCTTGTCTGTTTCCACTGGCCTTCAGGGCCAACCCATAGAGCCCAGTACACATGATGTGTTTATGTGAACAATTAGCCTTGACCAGAATATGAGGAATCGGGGGTACATCCACTATTGAAGACATCACAAACGACAGCCTTCTTATGTGCCTTATGTGCTTATGTTCCTATTGTCATTTCTCTTTGCAGAATAAAGGTACTGCCTTTAGGTTCTGTTGCCTACAATTACAACAGAAGAAAGAGAAAGTTATCAAAAGAACTGGGAGCAGTACTGAGGGAGCGTTCTGCCTGACTAAAACAAACCTTAGGACAGTTATCCCTAACTTCTGAGCTTTATTTTTCTTTTCTTTCTTTCTTTTATAATTGTCTAACAGAGCACTTTATTTCTTACAGGAACAATGAAAAGATGCCCTCTTTCCAGAGGCCTGAAAGGATTCAACAGACAAAAAAAATCTGCTTTACGAATGCAGCATGCTATGTACATATATAAGGTGTTACAACTGTTTCTTTTGCTATTTTACTTGTCTCAAAACTAAGTTCTTGCTTTCAGGAACCTACTTTCAGGCAAGATTTTCTTTTCCCCTGAAAAGATTCTGTTGGCCTCAAGGTGACCCTCTGCTAGGCTCCGCCCAGAGAGACTTTTTCCAACATTGACCCAGTGTCCCCCTCCGAGGCATCCCTTTCCACTACTCTTCCACAACGCTGTCCATCTAGCCTGAACATGGACAACCTTTTAACAGCTGTGCTTTCTCCTTGCTTCTTGTTAGGTCCTTTGTCAAAGAGTTCAAAACCACCTCAGCACAAAGTTAAGTTACAGTAACTTGACATGCTACTGAGAAGTCCTGCATTCTCTTCTCCTTTACCCTTGAAAACCCACGGGACTCTCCTCCCTCAGTTTCACACTTACTTCACCTGTTCTGGGGCAGGGCCAAGCTGGCCACACCAGCCCACAGCTGTCTGCACCCCTCATCCCTCCCACGGCCCCTCCCCAGCCTTCCTCCCCTGCAGGTCTGGACCAGGTTCTGAGCGCCTTTGTCAGGCCTGAGAGGGAGCTTCTGTAGATAGCTCCAGCTGCTGCTGTCACTCTGGGACAGACGTCTGGCTGGGTGCAGAGAGAAGGACAAAACAGGTGTGGCTGCCAAGGAGGGCAGGCCAGCAGGGCCACGGGACAGAAACACCCTGTCTTCACAGAGCAGGAACTGCTGGCTTCCCAGGGGCCTCACTTCAGCGGAGTCCATGCCCTCACAGGGCCAGCCAGGACACACTCCCTCACTGGCTATCCTCAGGAGCAAGCCAGGAGGAGCAGGATCCCCAGATCCAATGTGCACTGTGGGGTACACTTTAAAGCATTATTTTTAAATGAAAACAAATACTAATAAATCATGAACTAGAATCCAAGATGCATGTTCATGGGAATGAATGTACAAGTTAAGAGTACAGCTTAAGGAAGACTTGAGTCCAAATCTTGGCTCACGCTAATTTGATGAGCAAGTTACTTAACCACTCAGTTTTCTCATCTGCAAACGGAGGATGATAAGAGCCTAAAAGTGTACAGCACACACTCAGTCTTTGATACCTGTGTACTGTCATTTTTTTCCTCATCTCCTAACTGATCTCCTTGTTCCTAGTCTTGCACACTGTACACACTGCCATCAAAGCATTCACTCTTCAACAGCTTCTGTAATCTACAGTATAAAGGTAGGACTGTGAACGAGCGTCCTTGGCACTATCTGATTCTGCTACACTTCCCAGCCCCAGCTCTGGCCCCACACAGTCAAACCATTTGGGGTTTCCAAGATGTCTGCTTTCTCACTCTCTGGTCTTCACTCTTCCTTCTCCTCCCTCTAACCCTGATCTGCAGGTAAACCCACGCCCAGGGCTCCCAGCACATGAGAGCTCAACAGCTTGAAGCTTAACAGCCACTCTTCCAAAAAGCTTTTCCTGACTCCTCAGAGCAGAGGATGCTGCTGAACTACATACTGCTGGAATGCTCCCAGACCCCTCTATCAGGCTGGTGCATCAGCTTCTGTGCCCCCCACCCCACCCACCCCACACCCTGTAAGTGCTAGCTGCTGAGAGCTCACAGCTGTCCCTAATCAAAGGGACCCTTTGGTGGGACATTCTATGGGAAGGCAATTCATGCTGCGTGGCTGTGGGCTCCAGCTGCAACACATCCTTCCTTGTGTGCTGTGTCCCTGCTCTATCTTGCTTCCCTTCCGCCTGAGAGCACTTCCAGAACTCCGGCACCAAAACCCCTTATAGCTCTGTGCTCCAAAAGATCAGAACAGCTACTCTCTTCCCTAAACCTCCATGGCTTCCTCCCTTACCTTCACTCCATGGCCTACATGTTTTTTTACTCTGCTTGCTGTACCATTTCTGTGAACAAAGCACTATCACTCAGAATCAGAGCTCCTTAAGATCCTCCTGGATCTTCCTCCCCATAGTATTCATAGTGCCTGCACGCAATGGGTACTTGGAGAACATCTGTGATGAATTCATGAACCTACACAAAAACTTAAAGCAATCAACAAAATGTAACAGATTATTAATACTTGTATTGCTTTTCTATTTCAGTCATGCTAAGAGGCGTATTTCCCCCATTCAACATCTCTGAAATCAAGATGCTCCTTATAACAGATAGCATGGATGGTATTTGGGGGCGGAGGTTGTATGTGAGATAGGGTCTCACTATGTTACCCAGGCTGGCCTTGAACTCCTGGGCTCTAGCATACTATAATCAATGGCTCTTTAGGTTCAAAGTGTGTAGCAACATCATCATCACTATTGCTACTACTGCTGCTGCTGCTCAATCCTGCAGCAGCACAAAGTCCACAGAGCTGTGGACTTTATCTGAGCTCAGTAGCTCAGTAGCTCTTTATAATCAAACTTTCATAAAGTGATCTACAATTTTCCAAGGATAAAAAGGACTCATGTCCAGATACTGCCAGAAATTCCCATGAAAGAATGCTTTTATAATGTGGAATAAGCTCTGGACCAAGAGTTATATGAGCAAAATCCTAAGCCTGCTTCTTCCTCTTAATTTGCTGGATGACTGCATATCTAACACATCTATCAAGTTGCTGCCGTATGCCCAACATACAAGACCACTGGATCCACTCAGCACCCTGGGAGGAAGCCATGATCCCCTTTTATAGATAAGGAAGTGGGATTCAAACAGGTTAAACAACTCTCCCAAAGTCACACAGATAGAATTCAACTCTGATTGATAGAATTAGACTCTGATTCATTCAATCTCTCTCTCTCTCTCTCTCTCTCTCTCTCTCTCTCTTTTTCTCTCTCTCTCTCTCTCTCTCTCTCTCTCTTTCTCTCTCTCTCCCTTTCTCTTATATGACAAAGGATAACTTGCTGAGCATAAGAAAGTTGAGGGATCACAGACTGAAGCCTAAGAAGCCTTCTCTTTCACAGGTATATTTTATTTGACCCACTCATTATGTTCTATTTTAACTGAATTTACTGCCAACCTTTAAAAAAAAATCTGAAGACTTATATTAAAAATTAGCATTTCTTATGTGTAAACATTATATTGTCTCACTGGTATGAGAAGCTGAAAGAAACAATATATGTACACATATATACATATATAAAAATATAGTTAAGATAGTTACTACTGATTTCTCTGAGTTCACTGAAGAGAAAGATTTGTGCTGGTACTGTTTGGACAACTGAATGCAGATGTCTTGTGCTTTGGATGAATGATTTGGTGATGACAATGCACAATGTATGTGCATGTTGCCCCCTGATAGTTGTGTTTTGAAATTTTGTGGGGTTTTTTTCCTCTTTGACATAAAATGGATTTGAAAAAAATAATCAGCATTTCTGGTTTGTCATTTAAATATAAAAATCAGAGCACTGGCCACAGTGAGTCTTTCTTCTCGGAGGTGGAGCTCAATCCTACTGCAATACAAGGGCAACTCACATGTTCCAATTTCCTGCTGGTCCTACCCCTTCCTAGGTCATGGGTCACTGTCATTTATCATCACATTTGTGCCCGCCCCTGTTATTTCATTCTCTCTGTTCCCTGCTGGCCACTGAGTGTATGACCCACTAGGCCAGATGAACCCCAGTAGCCTCTCCAGCCCTAAGCAGCCTCTGGGCAGACTCTCTCCAAGGAAGAACCTTACACACACACACACACACACACACACACACACACACACACACGCCTTCCTTCAGACTCCTGCCCTTCCCCTTCCATCCCAGGGGCCCCAGAGTCTGTTGTTCATACAGCAGGAGAGCTGAGGGTTGGAGTGACTGGGATGGGGAACCGGGCAGGTGTGGGAATGAGTTAGACAAGGTCCACCCAGAGAGAAAGGGAGGGAGGGCCCTGTGTTTCCCAACAGGAAAGTGGTTCATAGAGATAAACGTAAGCAGGAGGATCCACAGTCACAGGAGATGAGCAGGGTTTGAGACATGAGGAAACACAGCAAATCATCAAGAGGAAAAATGTACAGACTCAGCAACAATTTAGGATATGCAAATTACAACAACATTAAGGCCCCATTATGGCCCGAGTCAATGTGAAAATAAGTAAATAAATAAGACAAGAATTCTGCTGTTGGCAGGGCTTTGGGAGAACAGCTGCATATACATTGCTGTGCTACTATAAACTTGAAATCTTTCTAGAATGTGAGTTGGCATTGTGCTGCAAAAGTCTAAGATTCTGACCTGGCAATTATAGTTGGGGGACTACTTCCCATGAAATTAAAATGCCACCACAAAATTTTGTATAAAAGAAGCTCATTCTGCCTGTACATATCACCAAATACTGAAATCTATTCATATTATAGTAGCACATGATACAGTACTTGAATCAAATATGAATGGACTCAATACATGGAACAATCTGAAGAAACCACTCAATGAAATCATGTGAAATGACAAAATCAGCACAAAGAAGCATGAGAGAACTTTGCAAACTGCTAAAACTTCCACAGAAACATTAGAAGCAATCAGAAGATAATTGTAAACTGTAAATTGTTAGGGTGTAATGTTTATTCTATGAAGCTGAGGACGACGGACGGTTTAAATAACAATAAGGACAACAGTGATGATCATGATGCAAGGTCATTGGACAGGATTTCCTCATCATAAAAATACACAGGGCCAAGGTCCCAGGAGAGAGGCAGGCCCAGGCACCTGGCTTGAGGAGAGGAAGACAAAGAATGCAAACTGGGACAGAGATTCCCTTATCTGGAGGACTTTAGACACTTCTCAGGGAAGAACAAAGCTACCCAAATAAACCCACACATTTAACCTCTAACATCCTGGGTGCTGACTCCTGCTGTTGCATTTGTGCTCTCAATTTTACTAATACCTTTTTCTGCAGCTTCTGAGGTGACACCAGGGCTCTCTGTGGGCTAGTCTAGGAACCCAATCACCATTTATAGCATTGTTTCTATGGAAATGTGTTTCAAGCTTCAAAAAATTGAGCTGCTGACAACCCTGGGGCACACATGTGATCTCTAAATTAGGGAACTGAGATGAGCTGGGTCCCTGAGCTCAGGAAGACAATTTGTTACTTAGATTCTGTGACAGTTAATATTCAGCCACCAACAATGATCAGAACTGAGCTCCATGTTACTACAGAGAAAGGATGGGGGTCTGGATATCTAGGAATGAACATGATGTTCTAGGGAAGCACATGAATAGCCTCAGCTGCCTCTCTCTCTCTCTCTCTCTCTCTCACACACACACACTCTCTCTCTCTCTCTCTCTCTCTCTCTCTCTCTCTCACACACACACACACACACACACACACACACACGCACACACACACACACACGCATTACATGGAAAACGTGAAACTGGCCAGAGTACCCCAGATGAACATCGTGGCAAGCCCTAAGCCCACACTCTTCCCAATTCCTCTCTGGCTCTGGCAAGCGTCCAGCTACAAGGTCCTATTTCAGTCTGATCATACAATAAAAACTTCAAATCTTTGACAGTTATAGAACTTGATTTTAGCGGACACATGCTAAAATAACCTGGGCCCCAGCAGGGCCTGGACATCCCTCCAGACTCACTCTGTACTGTTGCAGGGTTTAGCAAGCTCCAACCTGCTCGCTCTCACCTCAGGACTCCAAACACCATCAAGGAGTCTCCAATTCCTGCCCTAGTCACACTCTAGGCCTTGTCACAGAGAAAGAATGAGCAAGCAAGAGCCCTCAGACATTCCCTAGGTCAAGAAAATCCTTATGTTCAAAGAAAAAGCGACACACTAAGGGCTAACCCAAGGACAGTGCAGGTGAGGTCATTTGCCAGACACCAAGGTTCAACGATGCCACTGATATGAAAAGGCAGTCAGAAGAGGGTTGGCTGCTTGACCATAGGGCCACACCTGCAGCTCTAAGTCCCAGCAGAGTTCAAGGCACAGAGGG